AAATGCTAAAAATAACTACTAAAAAATTTATCAAATTTTCTAAAATTTTTAAATTATATGCTAATCGTTATAATATACAACTTTGTTGACCAATTAGCATATAAAAAAAATTATGTTTTATATGTGGCTACGATCATCATCAAATTAGGTAAGATCATCGTGATTATTAAAATTCCGGTGATCCCTATCAGGGGAGTCAAGCGAGATGTTGGAATGCAAAAAAATTAGGCAGGCGAGCATGTGATACTTGTTGATTGGTTTTAATCTTCATCTTCTCGAAAATTTCATGGCTTGTACTGTATATAAATACTGTACGTACTAACCGTAATAGGTAAACGATTTAATCATATCGATATAGATCATTGCTGTAAATGATAAATTTGTACTATGTTTATTTAGTTTATTTTAACCTTTACATATATGATCCAATAATAAATAAAAATGCATCTTAAATTGTATATAAATAGATATCGATATGAAAAAATATTCGAGTTAAACTTAATTTATTTAATTTACGTAGCTAGCACTTTCTTTTTTTTTCTCTTTTCATTCTTTTGCATAAATCAAAACTTGTGTGATTAAAATAAGTAGCAAACTAAAATTTTTAACAATAATGCCAGCAAATTGGGAAGATTTATTATGGCGTCCGTTGCATACTGTAAAAGCAACTATGGATTATCAAAGCGATCATCCTATGGATTTATGTTTTGAAGCTGGCGATATTATTGATGTTCTTGGTATTGGTATGTTAAATCTTTTTATCTATAAGAAATTTATAACCTGTTATTCGATTTTAACGTCTTTTTATATTTTTAAGAAAATGATAATTGGTGGAATGGCTGTATCGTAAAAGGTCATAATGTAAAATCAAAGAGCTTTGGTTCATTTCCAAAAATCTTTGTCGAAATCATCGAAGAACCTCCTCAAAAACCATCTAAACCTAAAAAAATTACAAATCCTTGGTTCAAAGATGATCTTGAAAAGACTTTAGAACAGCAAAGTGAAAATTCTATCTCGAAACAGAAACCGATCATTAATTCAAAACCTTTAGTTAATCCTCAACCATCTGTAGATAAACCACCTCCACCACTACCTTCACGCGAAAAACTTATGATGCGTCAAAGTTCTACAAAGACGATTGAAACCGTTGTTCCAAGGAACAAATCCCCGATAAGACAGGATTTACTTAATACAAATCGTCCGGCGATTAGAAGGAAAAATTCATCTAATTCTGTCAGTAGTGAAAAAAGTAGCAAGGCTTCAACTGCCTTTTCAATCGAAAGTGAGACACTTGTCGATGAGTTTGAAGAGAATCCTGACCCTATTAGGTATTTTTCATTTTTATTCTCGCTTTATTTTTGTCTATTTATAGTTCAATTTGATAAAAATTTCAAATTTTTTTTAAAAAAGTCGATGTTTACCTATAGTTGACAAAGATTTTGAGGATTATTTGGATACATCCGGTATACGTTTTAGGTTGATCATGTTTAATGAAATTTATTTGTTTCAGTATTTCTTGTTAATATATGAATTATTCCTTTTATAGAATATGATTTTTCAACCGTTGATGAATACGCACGTGAAACTCCTGAATCTGAAACAAAATCCGAAGCAAGGTTGGCAAACTATTTGACTTCAGTATGGGATGATGACATATATAAATTACGTGCTATTTTCGCATGGATCACTGATAATATCACATACGATTGCGATTCATTTTTTTCGGGTATTTTAATTTTTTCTTAAATCATTGGTTTATATCATCGGATTTAATATAATATATATAAATTTCTTTTAAATAAATTTAGGAAAATTATCACATAAATCTGCCAAAGATGTCCTGAAAACTAGAACTGCTGTATGTGCTGGATATGCAGAATTATTTTATGGTTTAGCAAATGAAGCTGGTTTGCGTGTGTGGCAAATTTCAGGAAACGCGAAGGGTACCATCCTTTAAATCCTTAGAAATTTTCGATTTTAAAATGCAGTATTAACATTTATATGTTTCTAGGTGCGGGTTTTCAAGCTGGTGATACTATTGGCCCAAATGATCGTGCTTATGCTCATGCATGGAATGGTGCTTTATACAAAGGAGAATATCTCTTAATAGATTCTACTTGGGGTGCTGGGCACGTAAATAATAATAAATTCAATAAAAAATTCCAACCTTTTTACTTCCTTACTTCTCCAACAAAATTTATTTATTCCCATTTCCCCGAACAATCAAGTCAACAATACTTACAACCTACTATCACAAGAAAAGAATTTAATAATCAGCCGCATTACAAAAGTGATTTCTTCAATGAAGGTCTTAGATTCTTAAGATTTTATGGTTCCGTAATAGAAGCAATTGACGATAACATAATTTTAAATTTGGAGCAATCAATTGATGACGGTAGAATAAATAAAGTGACTGCCTTTTTGGAATGGAAAGGGCAAAGAATAGATGCTTTTTCACAGAGGTTAGCTATTCCAGGTCCCAATGGTGGGATTTTACATCGGCTAAGAATTGGTTGTCCTACTCGTGGCGAAGGAAAACTTCAATTATTTTACAGCAAAGAAGGTATAAAAGAGGTTCGTATAATTATACACTATGTATTTTACATTTACACTACCCATATTATCCATGAATTAATCCTTTTTAAAAATACTTATTTATTAAATAAATAGTGTCCAGGCATCTGCAGCATACTAGTAAAAAATTCTGGAACTGGCGCAAAATACAAGCAATTTGCATATCAATACACCATCCCATATTCATATACAATAATTAAACCTGTCTACCAAACACTTGGTTATGGAAAGCGAACTCATTTTGAAGTAATATTATTCAATATAAGCTCCAATAAAAAAATTCCAGAATTTGTTGTATATGGACCTGGGATGGAAATGCAAACCTCTCTTGAAATAATTGATAGGAATGATTCTAATAGATGTATTACCATAGCTCGTGATATTATGCTGAATTTTAAAGGATCCTGGACTTTGTCAGTTAAAAAGGGTAATGAATACAGTGCGCTTGCACATTATGATGTTAAATAAATACTAATCTAATTTAGTACATGTAAATTAGCAATATATATTTTTTATTATCTGAAAAAACACCTATTATCATGTTTTTTTGTCTTAATATTTTTATACAAATGTTTTACAAATAAATAAATGCAGAAAATTTTTTTACATATTTTACATTCAAAAGTTAGAATATTTATGCAACTATTAAAATACATATGCAATTATTAAATGTATTGTCGGTAACTAATTTTTTCAGAGCTCTACTTCTGTTAATTTCGGATTCTTCTTTTATCCTCTTGACTAATTTGTGTTTCAATTTGGCTTATATGAATGTTCTGGTCGAGTTCAATTGATGCACTTTTACAAAGATTTAGGTGTGCTTCACGATGGCAATTCAGAAGATCCTGTTGATGGTGGTTTAGCATATCTCATGATAGTTGTTTAGTTATAATTGCTTATACATTATCATTTTGAATATTAGAGCAGTATAAAGAATAATTGCTTGTTAAAATAAACTTCTTATATAAATTATTGGATTTTTTAAAAAATTACTTTTGGTTTTTATTTAATATATTTGCAGCCAAAATTAGCCAATTTTACAAAGTTAGAATATTTTAGAATATTTGTTATAGCATGACCCATGTACTAGCAAGCTTGGTTACCTGAGCCACACATATCTAAAGGTTTATGTTCACCCTAGTACCCATATTTGGACTTCTATTTTTCTTCAAATTCTTTACTAGTCTCTCTTTTGCTTCTAGCCAATGACCTGGCTTTAGGTGCTTTTGGTTTATCTTCTCTTAGTATATGCTTTTAGAGTATATGCTTTTAGAGTATATGTTTTTTTTCTAGTATATTTAAACTGATAGTCTGATTAGTAGATTCTCCTACTTAAGAATCTATTGTTGCTTGGTTTTCTAATCTTGGTTTCTGTTTTCAAATTTGGCTTGGGTCTTTTTAAACAGGTTTTGATCTTTCTAATTTCTTGGCATTTATACACTAAAGCTTCTATTTGAGATAGTGTTACCAAGATTACAGATTTTAGACCCAACCAATTGTCTGATAATTATTACCAAATACAGGCTTATTTTCAAAATTATTATCTATAGGATTTGAACTTTAGACTTGCTATTTGGTGGAATAACAACTAGACTACTTTACTAAGTCATCACACTTTCAAAAGCTAGAGCTTAATTTAAAAAAATATTATATTTAAAAAAAAATAAAAATTACAGCCAACTTCCTCTAAGTACATGTTCTCTTTCTAAGTGCAAGCCATATTAAATTTTCTTTAAATACAGGTTTTTTTTTAGTCTCAAGCTATATAAAATTATAATAAACTTATATTCTCTAAGTATAGATTTTCTCTAAATATAGAATTTTTTTTTTTACTAAAGAAAATTTTATAAATTCTGGTAAGCTATATTTAGAAAGAGTTGACTGTATTATTATTTTTTAAAAAAAAAATAAAAAAAAAAATTTATATATTAGAAAAAAAATATAAACTTTTAATAAAAAAAATAATAGAGAATTACTATTTGTATACTAGTATATACATATAGAATATTGTTATTACTTGAAATTTTGCTTATAAAACTACTTTGGGGTTCTAATAAAAAATAATCTATACAAAATTTTAATATAAAATATTTTTTAACTTTAACCTCTAATTCTAATTCTAATTCTAATATTAAGTAGTTTTTTTTTTATAAATTTATATATTGTACAGATTTACAAAACAATTAATTAATACTATGTTTATATACTAGTATAGGCTTAAAAATTTTTTTAATAATATTGTTCTAACTATAGTATAAATTTATTTTATATAGATAGATCTATATAATTAAAAATTTTAAAATATTTAATAAAGAATAACTTTTGACCTGCTAGTTTATTTTAAATAATTTTACTATCAAAATAACTATATTAGTAAGATGATTCTAAAAAACCAAAACCTAATTACTGAATTCTAAGAAAATTGTTAATTTGTTTTTATTAGATAAAATATATTTATTTTATTTTACCCATTATAAACAAAACTCAGAATTTAGTAATTAGATTTTAATAATTTTAGACTTTTTAAAATTGTTTTACTGAGATAGTTATTTGTAGTAAAATTATCTAAAATAAACTAGTAGATTAAAAGTAATTTTTTGTCAAATACTTTAAAATTTTTAATTTTTTTTTTCATTTTGATAACTTTGTACAAATTTATTGAATTATTTAAACTTGGCTCAAGTTTTACATCCAACATACATATTTGGCAGTACCTGGCTGCTTTGAAAGTGCCCAAGTATAGTTATCGCACTAGTATTTGCCAACAGACCCTATATATGGTACTACCCGTATTTAAAAAACTGCTCTAGTATAGTCTCATCTACCATATTAGAACTATATTTATTCTCTTCTAATTTTTTTTTTTTCTAAAGACAGCCAATAGCTTAAAGTAAGGGGGAATTTTTAAACAAAACAAATAAGAAAACAACCAAAAAAATAAAAAAAAAGAAAGAACAAAAAGAAATAAAACAAAATCCTAATACACTAATAATGCTTGTGCCGGGCCTAAAAAATTATATACTATATATAAAACTAATCTAGTTTTAACCTATAATATATGTGGACTTATTCTTTTCTAAAACTTTCATTTCTTCCAAAGACAGCCACCAACCAAAACAGAAAAAACAAAAAACAAAAAGAAATAAAACAAATTCTAATAGCACTGTTAATGCCTATACAAGGCCTAAAAAATTATATACTATGCATAAAACTAATATAATCTAGCTTTATCTATAATATATGTAACCCTAAAATAGTTTAAAAACTTTTTACTACAAACCCAACTAATCAATATTTGTTTATTTCTATGCGCTAAGCCAGATATCATAAATTACACGTGGCTATTTTATAGTTTTCTTTCTAATTTGGTAGTAATACAGAATGCAGATCATTTGTCAGGGTATACCAGATTTCCCACTTTTTGGCAAAAATTTTTGAAAAAACTCCAAAACATAGCAAAAAAGTATAGAAAGGTGTTCGGTTATTTGTACAGTCGTCCTCCCCTATAATCACACAGTTGGGCACGTACTAATCAGGTGATTATAAAGAGGTGTGACTTTATAAAGGTACCTCTATACAAGCACAAATTATAATTGATATAAAAAACTGATTTAATAGAGGTATTTTAAAAAATTTTATTGCCTTTGGAATCTGGAGTTTCTCAAAGAAAACCCTTTTCTTTACTAAGTAAACCTCCCTTTTCGACATCTAAGTAAAGTTGTTGAGGAGTGTCTTGTGA